CTCCCGCAGTTTGGCAGGTCGAATCAAGTCGATTGCCGTGAAGGTTCTGCGCCAGTTCACTGTCGCTGCAGTGACGATCGCCACGAATGAGCCGTGACACGCCGTAACGTTTGCACCCGCCCTTGCAATGAGAAAGTTTCCTCGTAAGTCAGCCTGGGTGCAACACGCGAACAACCAAGGCGATGCAAGAACGGGTCGCACATCGCACGATTACGTTCGATCTGTCCCATATTGATGCCGGCAGGGATCTACCAGAACCAACCACCCCTTGCTCTTCTCCCGCCTTCTCTTTCCATATTGGCAAGACGCTGAAATAAGGACTGCCTCTGGCTTGGGAGACGCTCTCGTTTTCGGGCCATTCCTTAGACTTAGTTCGGGGAACTGATTCCTGTCCAAGGCTCGCCAAGGCCATAAAACAAACTGCGTCGTTTTATTACAGGGCAGCCCCGTATCCCTTTCTTGTCCGGCTAGGTTCCTTAGAATGGCGATTCTGTCTGAGGCATCTTCACTAAGATGAGATGTTCGCACCATCGTTGTTGTAAAAAGAAACGCCTCGCCTGAGGCGTCCTCCACATTTGCGGATGTTGGAGGTGATCTATATATATATATGGATATATAGATAGATAGATAGATAGATAGATAGATAGATATATAGATAGATAGATCGATCGATCGATAGATAGATAGATAGATAGATAGATCTCCGTGCACGAGGCCCGGGCGCCCAGGGCTCGGGCCACGGGGGGGCATGTGAGGATTGGGGCCTCTGGGCCCCGCCGAGACAGCCCCTGACAGCCCCGAAACGCCACCCGAGGGTCCCAGGAGGTCTCCAAACGTCCAAGAGAGGCCAGAGTCCCCGAATCGTCGCTCCAAGACGCCGAAGATGGCTCCAAGACGGCATCCGGGAGCCCCCACGACGGCCCAAGAGTTCCCCAAGAGGACTCCCAAGAGCGCCTCCAGAAGCAAAAATGGCCCCGTTTCTTTTGGACAACATTTTTTTACGATATCCACATCTTCGGCGTCGACCGCCTCGAAGACTGCCCCAGAAGCCCACAACATCGCCCCAAGACGGCCAAAGAGAGTTCCAAGAGGCCTGCAAGACAGCTCCAAAGGAGCCCTCGATATCCAGGAGGTCCCCGAGAGCCCTGGGGGGCTTCTGGAGCTCCCCCGAGACAGCCCCAGACAGCCCCGAAACGCCACCCGAGAGTCCCAGGAGGTCTCCAAACGTCCACGAGGGCCCAGAATCCCCAAATTGTCGCTCCAACACGGCGACGATGGCTCCAAGACGGCATCTGGGAGCCCCCACGACGGCCCAAGAGTCCCCCAAGAGGACTCCCAAGAGCGCCTCCAGAAGCAAAAAAGGCCCGGCCCCTTTGGTAAACGTACATTTTCACGATATTCACCGCTTCGGCGTCAACCGCGTCGAAGACGGCCCCAGAAGCCGACCAGATCGCCCCAAGACGGCCGGCTCAAGAGGGGCCCTCGACTGTCCAGGGGGCTCCTAAGACGGTCCCAGAGGGCCCTGGGACGGCTTCCCCACACAGCCCCGAGGAGTACCCCACCCGACATGTCTAGCCATCCTCCCCAAAATGCACCCCCGAGACCCCAAGAAACCTCCAAGAGCCCCCCCCAAAAAAACCCAAGCGGGCCCCACGGGGCCGCCAGAAAGCCCCAAGAGGCTCCCAAGAGCCCTCTCCCCAGACGCCCTGAGGTACTCTGGCTGATCCCGAAGCTTCCGGACAACTCTCGGCATCCTGACGCCCCCAACGGGCCCCAGGACCGTCAAACATTTTGGACAAAACCACGGGCCTATGGAAGTTGTCCGGACCTCGGGGCCACTCCAAAGGTCGTCGACGTCGTCCTCGTCGTGGTGGTGGCGGTCGTCGTCGTCGTGATCGTCTTCTTCGTCATCGTCGTCGTCGCCTTCGTCGTCACTCGTCGCCGCCCCTGTCGTCGTCGTCGATGATCACACGAGCGAAAACGAGAGCAGCAAAACGTGGCGCAGCCGTAACTAGAACCTAAGCTCGCGTGGTTCTAGTGTGTATACGTTTATATGCGTATACATGTATGTTTGTGTGTACTATGTATGGAAAACATATACATGTATGCAAACGCATTACAATTTCATCGCGCCGTCTCTGAACATTGCAATTTCGCTGGGGACAATCTCGACATCACGAGATCTTTGCAACATAATGTCGACATCGTTTTTCTCAACGTGCCCACCGACGGCCGCAATACAGTCGGTGCCCTGAAGAAGGAACCCTTTTCGTTGGGGAGGGGCTCCATGTTCCTTGATTGCTTCACAGTTTGCCTTGCGTTTCCCTTTGCTTCCCGAAGGGAAATCGAAGTTCAACTTCTGGAGAAAAAGGGGCCTCGTTTCTTATTTAGGGTTCCTTAGGTCAGCACCCCGACTGTATTACCCCAAGGGCGCCCCTAAGGCGACCGAACATGGCGATTTCGCTGGAGACATCATTGCAGCAGCGCAGACGTACCAGCAGCGCAGACGTACCAGCATCGCCTTGTTCTTACCATCGCCTTGGAATCGCTCCTGGACGGCCTCAAGACGGCCGCGCGCGCATGTCGAATTTCTTCCAAAACCTTCACCGACGCGAGGACGCCGTCATCGTCGTCGGCGTGGTCAGCATCGGTGCCGTCACTGGCCGTGCCGCCGTCGTTGTCACCATCGTCACCAACTTCGCTACTATCATCATCGTGTCTACCGTTGCCGACGTTGCCATGATACCGCGCCTGCCCAAGTCGCCGATTCGCACTGAAGTGCCCGCTGGGGAGCGCCCAGCGGTCACCGCCACCGCGGCCGCGTCGGCCGCGCCAAACTAGCTGGCCACTTCGCGCGAGAGCATGCGCGCTAGCGCGGCCGCAGAGATGCACCAGCCAACGCCGAGCACTTATCGCAATCGCCGCCGCATGGGTTTTGCAAACCAAGTTGCGGGTGGGCGGGCGGGATGGTTGTGCCCCATCGTCCATACCAAATATGAACTCGTACCATCCCAGCCCAACTGGTACCGACCCCCCCCCCCGCCAGCCTCTGCAACAAATACTATGCGAGCGCATTCGTTCATCAAAAACCAGACATTCTCAATAATCCCATGCAACACATGATTCGCAGAGCACACGCGCGCGTCGTCGCCGCGCGCATGCCGAGATCTTTTTAAAACAACATTCGGTTTCGTCCGGATTTCAAAATCGAGTGTCGACCAAACATTTTAAAACGGTTTCGCAACACGGAATTTCAACACAATGTGCGCGCTGTGTTTCGGATCTTCAAGACAACCATAGGTTGTTCAGAATTTTCACAAAGTGTTACCAAAGCGGCTTCGCGCGCGCATGTCGAAAACGTTCGAATGCCTTTGCGCGCGTGTTGTCGCGAGAATATGTTACAACAAGTGAAACGAAGTGCGTGCGTTCGCGTCGCCGCGCGCGCATGCCAAAATCCTTCGATAATCTTCGATGTCGTACGGATTCAAAATCGAGTGTCCAAAAACATGTAGAACACATGGTTTCGCAACATCAGTTTTCAAAACAGAAGCGTTCGCGCTCAGCCGGAGTCTCATGGAAACCATAAGTTGTTTAACATGTTCGTTGGATTGTGCCAAACGAGCGATTTGCGCCGCACGTCGAAATCATTCGAACGCCCCTGCGTGCGTGCTGAGGGGGGGAGCGATCCGCGTCAAATAACACCATGCCGGCCGCCTTCGCGCGTCGGCCGCGCGCGCATGTCGAATTCCTTCCAATACCTTCGTCGCCGACGCGAGGAAGCCGTCATCGTCGTCGGCGTGATTAGCATCGGCGCCATTACTGACCGTGGCGCCGCCGCTGGCATCATCGTCACCAGCATCGCAACGATCATTATCGTGTCGACCGTTGTCGACTATGCCATGATACCGCGCCCGCCCAAGTCGCCGACTCGCAGTGAACTGCCCGCTGGGATGTGCCCAGCGGTCAGCGCCACCGCGGCGCGTCGGCCGCGCCACATAGCTGGCCGCTGCGCGCGCGAGCATGCGCGGGTTAGCGCGGCCGCAGACATGCACCAGCCAACACCATGCACTTATCGCAATCGCCGCCGCATGGGTTTTGCAAACCAAGTTGCGGGTGGGTGGGTGGGGTGTTTGCGCGAGCAGTTGAGTTGACAGTTGCAAGTTCGGCAAGGTGAACTGCCAAAAGTTAGATTGTTGCACCACGTCGACGATTCCACATCTATCGCGCAACACATACTTCCCCCAAAAAACATAGATCGGAGTCCACGCTGGCTGAAGTTGTCAGGATGCGCAGGCAGATGCGCCCGCGGCGACAAAAAAAAAAACAGCGAACAAAAAGACAAAATGAATAACAGCACATCAAACACCTGCGTCCTCGAAGTCCATTTCCTCCCCTCATTATCCCCCTTCCCTTCCTGTCCTCCGAGCGAAGGCCCAAAGGGGGAAGAAGAACGACATCATCCGAAAGGCGGAGTACGTGTGGACGACGGTGGCTTACGTCATCTGGCCTGCGGGCGCGCGGCGGACGTCGAATAAAACTCGGACGGTACGAATAGGATCACTGTCACTTGGAGGATAATAATGAGGAGGAGGAGGAGGAAGAGGAGGAGGAGGAGGAGGAGCGAGGGCGAGGAGGAGGAAGAGGAAGAACATGAGGAATAGGAGAAGGAGGAGGAGGAGGAGGAGGAGGAAGAAGAAGAAGAAGAAGAAACAGAGGAGGGCGAGGAGGAGGAGAAGGAGGAGGGAGGAGGGAGGAGGAGGGCGAGGGAGGAGGAGGAAGAGGAGGAGGAGGGCGAGGAGGAGTAGAAGGAGGAGGAGGAGGAGGAGGGCGAGGAAGATGTCCCCAAGGGGGAAGACAATCAGGAAAAACCTTACGCAAAACACAACACAGACAAGGCCTGCCTCCTCCGCCCGCCCTCTTTAGGGGGCACAGTGTCGCCGCAAGGCGCGAAGAAGCTGCTGGACGCGTCCAAGCCACTAAATCAGCCCGTGGACAACTTCATGGCGTGGGAAGCCAGCCAGGGCCGCCTGAACAGCTACGTCGTGCTGGACCGGGTGGCGGGAGGGGAGTTCGGAAAGCTTTGGGAGTTTCGCTGGCTTTTGTAGGTTTTCTCGCCTCGCCCTGACTCCGGGTCCGCCGCTCTTTGAGCCATTCTTAAGTAGGGCGGAAAACGACGCCTTATTTGTCAAGCTCCTTTAGTGTCGATTTCCACCCTGCTGCACCGCTGCTGTTTACGCCAAACCTTTGTGGAAAGATCCAACCCGCTTCTCCGAGGCGAAAATTTACGCCCTACCTCTTCGCATCGTTCGTGGTGCACTTCCGAAACAAGTCTAAGTTGTAATATCAGCCAGAGTATGGCGGATCCGTAGTCAAGGTCGTCGTTTTCTTCCTCCTCTTCCTCCTCCTCTTCCTCTTCCTCCTCCTCCTCCTCCTTCTCCTCCTCCTCCTCGCTGCGATGGTGAATGACGGGTTGTCCGTTGTGGTGCAGAAGATCGAAACCCCCGTTCAAAATGGTTTTGTCAAAGGCCGTAACTTTTCAAGCAACGCTTACGAGCTTATTTACTACGCTAGGCTTGCGAGTTGCCTGGAACGCCCCGCGCCTGCCCTGCTCATGTCTGACTTCCCCCAGGCCTGTCCGTCTCTGTCACTGTGCCGGAGCTGGCTCGTGATGCCGTTCGACTCCGTGAAATTTCCCAGACAAGTTGTTGATAAAAGGCTTCTATATCGTTAATATTTGTCTTTTCCAGTGCCAGGGGCGATTTGTCCCTCTATATCATATGCACTGAGGCGTCTTCCAGGGGTGCCCGCTCATTGGTAGCTTGTTTGTGATTTCGGCGAACCCGTTCTTTTGGGACATGTTCCGAACCATCCAGGTCCCTGGACACGGTCAGGTGCGAGCCTGTGCCGACGACGTTGCCGCGCTTGTCCTGGCCGCCAAGGGGTTTCGGGAATCGGCTCGTGTCTTTCGGAACGCGGCTGCCCTTGCAGGGCTCATTCTGAAGGCCTCAGAATGCTTCGCCGTTCCGTTCGCTTCAAAGCTGTGACCAGCTCAAGGAACTGACTCGCTCGTTGCTCGCGTCTGCGGAATGCCGCCTGGGCTCATTTGAAGATTTGTTCAGTCGTCTTATACCTTGGCTGCTGGATTCGCCCTGGCGCGGATGAGCGGAAATTGGGCCGACCCGACGTGCAAGTTGAATCAGCGAAGTCGTAGCATTGCCGACTGCAGGCAGGATCTAGCCACGGGAGTCTCCCTGTACCTCCTCCGCGCCCTTCCCTCCATTTCCTATGTTACTGTATCCTCTGGTTTGGCAGGGCGCGGGTATAGAAAAGACGCTGCTCGCTATAGTGACTGGTTCAACTTACAAAGGTGCTTCTCTGGGCCGCGGATCCGTTCCCTGTATGCTTCCTCCGCGGCTGCCTTGATGCGTACGGCTCTGGTCACCCTGCCGCAGTGGCAAGCTGCTCTCACCCGCCTAGAGAATTCGATTCGAAATTGATGCAGCATGGGTCCCCGGGCGAGTCCGCGGCTGGCTCCGAGTTTCTATCGTGCTAAATCTGAGAGATGCTGCCAGAGAGATCCAGAGGGTTACCTGAGGATGGTCGACTGAGTGGGGGGGCGACAGGCGGTGGAGTCGTTTCTTGAGGGCTCCCAGGAGCGAAAGCCCCGATGGCAGCGCGTATTCACTGATGCCGTCCGTCATGGGCGAGGTTTTCGCTTTGCCACTGATCCCCTTGTTACAGCGCCGCATTCGGAAATGGTTCGTCCCGTCGTTGGAGGCTGGGGTGGTCGAGTAGGGGGTGGTCCAAAGAGCCCTGGCTCGAGCCCGTCCCAATTGGGCCAGTGTCTGCCTCAGTACCTGGATTGGGGCTTGGGTCACAGGCCACAGAACACAGCGTCCCCAACAGTGCATCCTCGGCTGTCCTGACACTGTTTCTGCCTCGCTCACGCACTGTTATTGTAATGGCACGAGGTCCCATCATCATGCCGCCATCGCTCTCCGCTCTGACCTCTCCTCCTCGCTCATTGTTCATCTTGGCTTGCGTGGACATCTAGCGTCCCCCCCGCCTTGGATCATTTCTTCCGCTTCGCGGCCCGAAGATCAGAGTTGCTCGGCCGCCCACTCGAGTACCAGGAAGCCGCGGCATTGACAGCTGCTCGTGTTAATTTACGACGTCCGTTTCGCAGCCGACAGCGAGCTTTGCAACGCTGTTCCTCCTCCTCCTCCTCCTCCTCCTCCTCCTCCTCCTCCTCCTCCTCCTCCTCCTCCTCCTCCTCCCCCTCCCTACCGCTCCTCCTTTCTCCTGCTCATCCCTCCTCCTCTCGCTCCTCCCGCTCCGCTCCCAGGAAGCAGAACAGCCGGTGCATGGGAGCGGCCCCAAGGAAGCCCCTCAGAGGCCTCCAGGATGCCTCCAAAAGGTGGAGAGAGAGGATCCGCCACGGCGATATACTGAACGCTACTGTCGTGCAAGATCGGTAGCCGACAAAGCTAGCGCCGCCGTCTTCCGAGGTGGCCGCCTCCTTCTCGTTTCCCCCCTCGCTCGCCGCCGAGCCAAAGTACGGCGGACCTGGAGTCGGGGCGGGATGCTGTCCAGTCGCCTGCGCCTCGGCGAGAGCTGCCTTTCTTGGGGGAGGGCCCGGCCCGCCTCCGGGAGCGCGGGGCTCGAGCCGCGGCCCCGAAGCCACCGGGCCAGTTGCCCGCAGGGCGGGGGGCAGAGGCAACGCCGCTCGACAGAAGGAGGAGGCGAAGAAGAAGAGGAAGAAGAAGAAGAAGGAGGAGGAGGAGGAGGAGGAGGGGGAGGGGGAGGAGGAGGGGGAGGAGGAGGAGGAGGAGGAGGAGGAGGAGGAGGAGGAGGAGGAGGAGGAGGAGGGTGAGGAGGAGCAGGAGGAGGAGCAGGAGGAGGAGGAATTGAGGAGGATTGCAGGAAGAGGAGGAGAAGGAGGAGGAGAGGAGGAGAGGAGGACGAGGACCATTGTAAACGCAAGACTCATCAACGATATTGGAGTAAGCCCTCCCTCCAAGGTTCCTCTCATTGGCCCCTAATATAGGGCTCATTTCCACTGAGGGAATTGCCTCGTTGGGGGACAACCGCTTGAAGACATTGAAGCGTGCCAAAACATCATTCTCGGGACTCCAGCGCCACGGATCAACTTGACTGTTTCGTCTTGGCGATCCTGAACCGCGCCCGAACACCATTCTTGGGATTTCAACACCGCGTATCAACGTAATTGTTGCACCCTCACAGCCCTGAGTCCTTCCAGATCACCATGTCTGGTACGCTGACCATGGGAAAACGTGAAACTCTTGCAATCGCTTGACACGAATATGCGCGTCGCTCAGGCGAGGACCAATGTTTGAAAACGAGCCGCCCTCAATCCCTGAAGTTCTTGCAAATGTTTAAGATTAATGCGCGCGGAGCGAAGGCGAAAGCAACATGTTGAAAACGGCCCGCCCTCAACTCGAGAAACCTTTCTGCAAATATTTAAGACGAGTGTGCGCGTCGCTCAGGCGAGAACCAAAGTTTGAAAACCACCCGCCCTCAATCCGTGAAGCCCGTGCAAATTGTTAAGAAGACGAGTTCGCGCGGCGCGAAGGCGACAGCCAAGTTTTGAAAACCACCCGCTCTCAATCCGTGATGTGTTTGATTGAATTTGTTAGGACGACTGCACGCGGTACAGAGGCGAGACCTTAATTTTGCAAACGACGTGCCCTCCATTGGTGAACTGTTGCCAACTGTTAAGCTTCATAAGTGGTGATGAAGTCTCAAGCGAAACGCCCGGCCCACCATTTCGACCGGCCTTGCGACAGCGAGGAGCTGTTCATAAGGAAAAAGAGCGGAGGAGGCAGTCGGAGGGAGGAGGAGGAGGAGGAGGAGGAGGAGGAGGAGGAGGAGGAGGAGGAGGAGGACCAGTGTGAACCCAAGGTGATCAACGATGTTGGAATAAACCCTCCCTCCAAGTTCCTTCTTCATTGGCCCCTACAACGGTTCATTTCCACTGAGGGAACTGCCTCGTTGGAAGACAACTGTTTGAAGACCCTGACGCATTCCAAAACATTGTTCTCGGAATTTCAACGCCGTGGATCAACTTGACTATTGCGTCATGACGATCCTGAACCGCGCCCGAACACCATTCCTGGGACTTCAACACCGCGAATCAACGTAACCGCTGCGCCCTCATAATGCTGAATGCATCCAAGACGCCCTTTCTGGTACGCTGATTATGGGAATCCGTGAAACTCTGCAAATTCTATTTTAACAAAAAAGACGGCGCTAAGGCGAGAGCCACGTTTTGAAAACCACCCGCTCTCAATCCGTGATGTGTTTGATTGAATATGTTGGGACGAATGCGCGCGGCGCAGAGGCGAGACCTTCATTTTGCAAACGACGTGCCCTCCATTTGTGAACAGTTGCCAGCTGTTAAGCTTCAAGGTCATTAGTGGTGATGAAGTCTCGAACGAAACGCCCGGCCCACCATTTTGACCGGCCTTGCGACAGGGAGGAGTTGTTCATAAGGAAAAAGAGCGGAGGAGGCAGGCGGAGGGAGGAGGATGCAGGGGGAGGGGGAGGAGGAAGAGGAGGAGGAGGAGGAGGAGGAGGACGAGGACCAGTGTAAACATGTGTAAACCCAAGGTGATCAACGATGTTGGAATAAACCCTCTCCAAGTTTCTTCTTCACTGGCCCCTACAAAGGTTCATTTCATCTGAGGGAACTGCCTCGTTGGAAAACAACTAACTGAAGACCCCGGCGCATGCCAAAACATTGTTCTCGCGACTTCAACGCCGTGGATCAACTTGACTGTTGCGTCATGACGATCCTGAATCGCACCAGAACGCCATTCCTGGGACTTCAACACCGCGAATCGACGTAACCGCTGCGCCCCCATAATGCCGAATCCTTCCAAGACGCCATTTCTGGTACGCTCGCTGATCATGGGAATCCGTAAAACCCTTGCAAATTCAAAAAACGACTGTGCGCGGCGCTAAGGCGCGAGCCACGTGGAAAACGAGCCGCCCGCAATCTGTGAACTTCTTATAAGGGGGTTCCCCCTGTATT